ATAGTTTTTATACCAAAAAATCCGCAGGAAGTCACTGTTCCACGCGGACGCAATAGCGGGCGAAAGCTAGAGATAAATAAAATTGTCATTGACAGACCGCGATTCGGGACTTCGTGTTCCTACTATAAAATTTTCCGCAAAACCCAATAAAACTTCGCACAAGCCTTGAACAAAAGACCCCTTGCTCGAAAAATAATGCTCTGGCGATCGATCAATCAACGAGCCAGTCTTCACTAAATCGCTTTCTCTATCCCTTTATTCATATGTATCCTTATCTATAATCCTTCCCCTCCCCCAATCCCTAAATCTCCAAATCCCTATTCCCTAAAAGATCGGCAACGCACTCGTAACTCCTCCGTTGCGGGTGTCCATGGGCGGCGCTAATTGCTTAAAAACATTTATTATGAATTTGTTAGAAAATTGATAATTTTGGATAGGTAACAAAAAAAAAAGAATGTGTTGAGTCGTTGACTCGTTTCCAAACACACTCAATTAATTGGGTAATTTCTTCAAACCAAAAAAGAAATGATTTAAACTTACAAAACTAGTAGCGACCCGCCCCGTCTTCACACGGGTTGACGGGTGCAATACTTAATTTTTAAAAAGAATTATTTTCGTGCATATACCGTCACCGTGTACATTGATATATGCATGTAGTAAGAATTGATTATTTACGAAAACATCTAACAACTTTTTATACATAAGCTGTGAGCCTACCTTATCATAATACATAAATTATTTCACCATTACAAACAAGCATTCCAATTTTATCCAAAAACTAGCTTATCTCACTCGCTGCTCAGCTTCATTTGATCGTAGCGTGTTGTTTTATAGCCTAAAGCACTCAGGAACATTGTAGCTATCTATAAGTGAAAGAATTTTGTCAATCCGACCAGCGGTTCCAAAGATTACCCCCTACATGCAAACTTACAAATTTTACCTGTTTATAATATTATTAGATACACAGATACCTACACATGTATAAATATAGAAGTGTAGATTAATTTCACATAATCCGGAATCCAATATTAATTAAGTACTAGACGGACATCAAACAAAATTAATCCTACCCCCCCCCCTATTTACAAATTGAACAGTACACGATCCCTTTTGATACCCCTTCGAATCCCCTTTGCAGATCCCCTTGTTAAAAAACGATGGGATTTAGTCTACAAACACGTACCTACATTCAACCCTTTGATTTTTCAAAGGGGTACCAGACCTTAATTAAATGTTTGAAACAGAGCTATTTGGTACAGACAGGCATTTATTTATTTATTTATTTATTTATTTGGACTTCCAACAGAGAAAACACTTTAAATGCCAGACAATTTACATAACAAAATATTTTCTTGTGCTTCTCCACTTATAAGAAGCTACAGCATGCAAATATAATGTAAGTAACAGCATAAATACAAATAAAATTTTAAAGTGATGTAAGTATTAAATTAAATTTTAAATTTTATTCATCATTCATAATTTTGGCACCAAAGTTTTAGGAAATATAATATAAGCAAATAGTTTTTTATGGGATAAGTCGGTAAACGAATTGATGGATTACTCACAACATCAAAGGAGTAACAAGAGCGTTGTCTTTTGGGGATAAAGTCTTCGGATATTTAAGATTTTTTTTATGTGAGGGGAAAATCATCAAATGACTTCCCCCGCCCAGGACCGGACGGGAGGGAGTGTCAGACTCTTACTGACTAAAAACCCCCCTGTTCCTTCTCCTGCTCTGGGCCGAGGTCGCGATGCCTCATTGCGCTTACCCCGCAACCCCGGCTGAACATCAGCCCTATAGGGCCCCGATTGGGAAGGGGACGTCGCTCACACAGTGAAACAACGCTGTGGTTGTTTCACGTCGGTTTTCGATGAGGCCGTGGTATCACTCCCGTCAAGCCGACGCATGCTTGCCGGAGTATAGCTCTCTTACACTTAAGAAAAATGTTTTTAAAAGCATCTATAGCGTACAGAAGTGGTGTAAAATTGTAACAGATGTTCCAACAACAATATGCTCTTTTGGGCACCGCAAAGCAATTATAAACGTATTACAAATATATAAAATATTGTAGTAGCCTGTTAATGTGGATATTTTATTTGAACTTTAACGCCAAAAAAGTCATCAAGCGACTGTTTCCGCCCTGGTGTTTTTTTTTGTGAGGGTAAAACCATCAAATGACTTCTGGAGGAATTATGGACTTATGGAGCGTCAGACTCTTACTGACTAAAAACCCCCCTGTTCCTTCTCCTGCTCTGGGCCGAGGTCGCGGTGCCTCATTGCGCTTACCCCGCAACCTCGGCTGAACATCAGCCCTTTAGGGCCCCGTCTGTGGTGGTATATTGGCTCTTTGAGCCGCGCGCGGAACGCTACGCGCCGTACGCTCGGGTTCCGCCCTGGATGAGGTGAAAGAAATGTCAGAATCTTACTGACTAAAAACCACCGCGTTTTTTTCCTGCTCGGGGTCGGATCGCGGCACACCTTTACGCTTTCACCCGTAACTTAATAAGTACCAAGTTTTTGACAAAGTCATCATATTGGCTGTGTGCAAAGCGTAGTGGCGGACAGATAACGACCGCAGCGCACAACACGGCAGAAATAGGAAACAAATGCGGATGATCAGCTGTCGGTTTTTATTATTATATTCATTTCACAGTAAAACTATTGAATAAATTGCACTTAAATAATGTCAACAATACTATTTTATTTAATCTTTTGGTTTTATTTATATTTGCAAAGAAAATTATTATGTTTGTTATTATTTTACAGCTTCCGCGAATGTTGTTGACGCTACGCGTCGCTTCCGTCGCGCACATAGCCAATAGATAACATTTTTTTCATCCATATTTTCAACAAAAAGTGTTTTTTCTAGGTACCTACCTACTTACAATACGGTAGTTTCCAACTAGTCAGTTGTTTTTGACATTTGGATAAAAGTAATGAATTTTTGTAATATTTTATTGTATGCATTGAAACGTCGAATTAATTTATTTTTGATGGAGGAAACTACCTAATTCTTATGAAATTTACGTATAAACATTAAAGTATCTCATCGACCACGTGGAGTTCGGTGCCACGCCCATGACATGGGAGTACAGTAAGCCTTGGAAAGCCTTTTTGTTCCACAATTATTATTAGAAAAAGAAAACAAAATAAACTAATATTTTTTGTGTTGTCGTGTGGTCACAATAGTTTTTGGCGCAAAGGATAAGGCAACACCTATTCATGTAAAGAGGTTGGATTCGAACCTGGCAAATACAAAAATGGCTCTCCCATACTTTAGTTCGTCACACAGTGTCCTATGTCTCTTACATTTTTCCTTTCGAAGGACTGCAGGAAGAGATTCCATGTAGGAATATGCAGTTCCTATGAACCTCTGTTTCTGTATTTGTTCTCTATTTACTGTATGTGCGATGTGCATAAATAATAAATTAATAAAATATACTCCTCTGCATACCCCTTCGAGGAAAACGAAGCCATGTTATACATATATACATATAACAAAGTACATGCATAATATGTATAGATGTACAATATAATAAATACTAGGAATGAAGGCTACCCGTCACTCGAGGGGGAAGGGTGACGTGAGGGGGTGTCATACCCCATATAAAGGGAGATTTTGCAAAAATGGGAGTTGTAAGGGATGAGTTCAGGTGAATGGTCATGCGCGTTACAGCTTCCGAGATTTACAGCAATCAATATTCCCGGGCGACCACACCCAAGCGTTGGGTGTGGTCGTTATAAAAGGTTATGTTGGATTTCCAACTCTGATTTCGCAAGTTTAAATTGACTAGAGTACTGTAAAACTGTTACAAATCACCTATAACGTCTTCTTTTTCTAAAATCACAATGATTTAACAGCTTGAGATAGCTAAAAAAGTGAAATCTTGTATCAGAAGGCAAAATCCAACTCCGTTTGCTGAGCCAACGAAGTCCTTCTAACTAAGCAGATCTGGAAGTTTTTAGGAAATTACTATGAGAAGCAATGGCTGATTCAATGAAGAACTGCGATCCCTAAGTTAGCTGACGAGATCAGAGATTTGGGTAAACCCAAGGGGTTAAAGGTATAGTCTTAGCGTTTCTTTCTCAACTTACGCGGCCATAGGCTAGCCACGATTTTGATAACCTTTCGCCGTCGAGCGGCATCGAACTTCGCAAATCAGTCTGGGCAGAAGCTTCCGAGTATTGCTCAGATTGTCGCATTTGCATCAAAAACTATAGCAATGAAATAATAAAACTAAATAACGCATAAAAAAACATCGCAGTGCGAAAAAGACCTTTAAACTAGAATTACTAATATTTTTTCACACTCATGCGCGGTTAGTGCAGAGACTGGGCTGCGAAAAGTGTAACGCGAATTTTTGGTGTTCTGCCATTCCTTGTTCCGGATCCAGGTGTGACGTGAAATATTTATTGGAAACGGTAAATTGTCTATTGTCTTTAAGGTTACTTTCTTTTATATTTGAATAAATATTAGTGTTACACTATTCTCACACAATTAAACCAGCTGTTTGTAAAAGAAATCTGTATGTGACACTGATTTAAAAAGAGTAACCATGGAGTTTCTTGCTCGTTCTTCTCCATCGGAATCTACACTTTGGAACGAGCAAATAGCTTCACTAAGAGGACTGACCGACAGACTGACACTATATCTTCAAAATTTTGTAAAGGTCTAGGACGTTCAAAAGTGCCTGTAAAGGTCTAACTGGAATACATGATTTTTGACATTTGATTTTATTGCAGACTATGTTGCAAGTCGACTTAAAAAAGCATGTTAAGGATCAAAGTTTTGTTGACGCGGTGGCTGGGCACAACTGGCTGCCGCACAGCGTGGCGCGGATCCGATTTCCGCACGGAACAACTCTGTGTGATCCACAAATTATTGTTCCGGGTCTGGGTGTGATGCGTATGTGAAATTGTATGTTTGTAAACGCATCCACCACATAGGAGAAAATCCTAGTGTGGAGCATTTTATCAAAAAAAAATAAAGAGGACTTACCCAACGTTATCATCAGCATTATCGTAGGCGGAGCTGGTGTAGTCATCCCGTGTGGAGTCCCACTCACTGCTCTGGTAGTTCCGACCTCTACTGGTCATCATGCTGTGGAGAAATGAGGTATTTGAGTGTGATACACTAGTTGGAGCAGGAGAAGGGGGATTTTAGTCAGTAAGAGTCTGACACCTCTCGCCATAGCCTAGGCGAGAGACAACATTTAATGATCACTTAAAAAAAAAGGAACACCTATCTCTATATCAAATTTCAACCGAATCGGTCCTGCTGTTTTTGCATGAAAAAATATAATACATACAAACATACATCTACACATTCTCACAAACTTACATTGGTAATATCAGTAGGATGATACATTCGGTAATGGGACAAAGTGGCAAACAAGTAGACTGATCACTTGATGGTAAAGAAAGAAAGAAAGAAAAGATTGCCATCCTATTTAAGGACTGGAGGTTGAGGAGATTGGTGGAGGATTGGAACTCTAGTAACCTTTCAGTAGGTGGGTTTTTATGTGGCCTTGATATCACTTGAGCCAATTAAATTACAATAGCAGCCAATTGATTGCACCTGCAAGCTCCAACGCATTAACCAACCACATTGGGTGGCAGTTTTACCTTGCCACTCGCGGCATGGTAGGCCAGGCCTCAGGGGATCCGGTTGCTTGTTGGCTCTGTAGCTATGATGACACTCCAAGAATGCCAATACACCCAAGTTTCGTGCTTTCTGCCATTCTTTTCTCATACAATTTATTATACCTTTTGCACATGGCCTCCAATGCTGGAGCTACTCATGCCCTTTTGCCTATTTCTCCTCGCCTCACATACACAAGCATTTAACAGCCTTTTTTAGAGCTTACAAGTGGACTTTGTGCCTCATATACTTCTTCAATTCTTTTAAAAACAGACTCCACAAAATCTCCAAATCCATATCTCCAAAGATATGCACGCATCAGCTTTCTAAGCTGCTAGTGTGTTCAAGTATAATAATATACATTAAAATGTTTTGCCATAATCTCTGCAGACAGTCTGATCACAGTTTAACTTTCAATTGTGGTAATGAGAGACAAAATAGTAAGAAAATCGGTGTGTGAACAAATGCACATATTCGCATAGGGTTTGATGAGTTAATAACAGACTGTCAAATGCTTTGACTACATGGTCAGGAACCAGGAACAGATAGTCAGGATACACATATTTTAGCCTATTTGTGTTTTGACATAATTATAAAATAATTGGTGAAAGCTGTGCTATATTTACTTAATAATTATGCCAGAAAACATTTGCTTGCCAGAGGAATCCAGGTGTGTCGCTTGCCTTTCAAATGGAGTATGCTCATTTCTTGAAGGTATATTTACTTTAGATCTTTAGTGACATACAGTATAATTTGTTCACAGAAATTGGAACAATGAATGAATCTGGCAAGTCCTATTATATGGTAACCAAGTTGCAGACAGAAGCTAGCTAATTTAACATAAATCTACACACCGGCCTTAGCTAGCTATGTATTTTACAAAATATTTCTGACATTATATTTGAATTTATCTCATAAACACCAAATAAATTAAAACTTTTAGCAAAGACTTTACTAAGAAACTTAAACAACACTGACCTACATCATTTTAATCGTTAAACTTCAATAACTTCAACACAATGATCTCACAAGCAGTTCGAATAAAATAAATCTCGACCTTAAAACTATGGTTGAGATACTATTGCAAAACTTTAGTATTAACTTACAAAATAATTTAGATTTTAGACTACTTATTATTTTTGTGGTCATTCTTCAGCCTAAAGTATGTGCCTAAACTTTCTATACTCATAAATTATATTAGTAACAAGTAAATCAAAACTATAAGCAACAAGAAAAAGACAACAGCGCACGAAGTAAATTTACGTCTGGTCTCAATGCGATACCAAAAAATCGAGCAAATACATGAAAGAACAACTCAAAATTATGCTAAGGACCTACGAGTGGAGTTATTATTACATGTACAGAAATAAATAACGCAAAATTCAACGAAACATTAAAAAATCACGCAGACACATTTTGAAAAAGGAAACGTTGCGGCAACAACGTGTTTGTCATAAAGTTTTATAATTTTGCCATCAAAATTTCATACCAATCGAATGTATATTTGTTTTGTAACGTGTAAGCGAAGAGATATTTATTGGACTTACCATTAATTTTATGTAAAATTGATAAAAACAATCCAGCGCCGGCTAAAAAACAAAGAACTGAAATCGCACAGGTTAAATATTACAGTAGGGAACAAAAAAGTGGAAGACAATTCGTTCTTAGCTGTGTTAACTTTTAACTTTTAGGCGATTTCTTTGACAAGTGGTACATTACTAAACAAATATAGCATTACTCTTTTGTTGAAATATTGTAATACAAAATAATAATTTGATTATCTTTAGATAGATATTTATAACATGTCTAGTGTTCAATCCATTAATGCATCCAGAACCCGACCTTTAGTTGATCTATGTTATTTTCGAGCTAGCTTCTGGTTCTTTGCTGCAAGGATTTAGTATTTGTTATTTATTCTCCTAAAATATAATATTAATTGTTATTTCATTTATATATTGAGTAAATTCTGCTACTGATTTTGCCACTGTCTTTAGCTTATTTAGAATTTATGTCTGCAGCCCATCAAGCAATAAGTATAGTTTTCATTCAGCCGAAATACTCTATTGAACCTTTAAGTTTCAATTTCCCTTTTTTGTGAGGGGAAAGTCATCAAATGACTTCTCCCGCCCAGGGTCGGGTGGAAGGGAGTGTCAGACTCTTACTGACTAAAAACCGTTCCCTTTTCTTCTCTGGGCCGAGGTCGCGGTGCCTTATTGCGCTTACCCCGCAACCCTAGCTGAAAATCAGTCCTATAGGTGCCCGTCTGTGCGGCTTCCCAGCTCCTCTCACTTCGCACCATGACCTCGACTAAGGCCGGGCGCGAGAGGTCACCGCCGTCGATCACTTGCCTGAGGACACGGCGTTCAACCCAGGCAGGGCATACCGCCACTGTATGCTCCACCATAACCCCTAGATGGTTCTTACAATGATGACACTCGGGCGTTTCCTCCCGCTAAATTCGAAACAGGAACCTACCGAAGCTGCCGTGCCCGGACGGAAAGCACCTGCGTCAGGTGGAAGGAGAGGTCGCCGTGACGTCTCTCAAGTCAAGTCACTCCTCAAAGAAGGGTCTTACCGCTGCTATAACAGCGTGCCCGAAGTTTTAATTTCCCTTGAAGGCATGTTAAAGAGTTCAAAAGAGCATCCATTCACCCGTGGCCCATTCAATGAAGATGAATTATCAAGAACAATAAAGAAGAATCAAGATCTTTCTTCTTTCCCTCTATAAGTAAAGAAGGAATGGAACGAAATTCGATGTCCAGCATTTTGTTAGTACCCGGTTGGCTAGTTTGACGGGTCACTACGTATCACATACCTAGTTTCCATGTTTACGGAATTTCATCCCATTAGTAAAATAAATAATTTGGTTTTAACTTTTAGTTAAAACATGTCATCACGTGATGTTCAAACTACAATTTGCACAACACTATTTTGATGAATGAAATAAGTTTGATTTGACATTGACAGCTCTCGAAATCCTAACCTACCGAACTATTTCCTAATAACGTAAAAGATATTGTTAAAAATAAATAATCTAAACAAACTTTTAAATATGAAGAATGGACGATAATGGGAAGCACACGTCCTCTTATCAATTGGACCAGGAAATATTAGATGGCAAGTTGTTTGTAAATTATTTTTTGTTGTAGTTCTAGTAAGGATAAATCAACAGGTAGACGTCTAATGTGTTATGACAATATGACGCAGAAATATTTCATATTGTATACATAATACATCGGAAATGCATTTAGTGAAAAACATATTGAATAATAAGATACAATTTGGCTGACTACATGAAAACTGATGCCAGAAAAAAACAAATAAATTACATTATGAATAAAAAAAAAACTTTTAGGTGGGTTGATCATGACTTTATGGGCAATCTAATTTGCTTATATTACAATAAATCATATTTTTTTTATAATTTATGATCCTTTAAAGACTATAAGATTGAATTTCAAGTAAAAACATTATTACATTTTAGTAAATAACAGTGTTAATCCATATCAGTTATGATTCATGCTCATATTATTGTTAAACATGTTATGAATCTGTGATTGTTGTTTTATTTGAAATAAGAATGCAATCATTCTACTACTTGTTTTTTCCTTATTCCTTTTAGCTAGTTTGACTATGTTTATATTGTCTTTTTGCCCCCAAAACTTTTTAGAATTGTTCTTATTAGAATAAAAATGCTTTTTGTTAACTTCATATATTATGTTTTGGTCTGATTCACATTATTTGGATAGCCACTATGTAGGTACCAAATAAATTTGAATATAGAATGTTAAATGGCCAAAAAAAGGTGGTGAAATACACCCTTTTCTATTGTTTTTTTTTGTTGAGGAGGGGCTATTATCATTTAATTTCTTTTTGCCTTGGAGTGTCACTTTCATAATTGATAACAGACACAAATTAAACCTGTTCTATATAAATTACATTGCAGTCTGGAGCAGGATGGTGTTTAGTCAGTTAGAGTCTGACCTCATTTGATAATATTGTCACCTCAAAAATATAGTGTTTTGTATTACCTAATGTGACAAAAAGATTTCACAAGCCCCCTTCTCATGCAAGGCTTGTTGATATTGACTTTTCCGAGTTACATGTACTTTTTAATATTATTATTTTAGACACACACACGAAACATGAGAAGTACCAATGTGACTTTTCCAAGTTATATGTACTTTCTATGATTATTTAGACACCACTTACATACGGTGAAGGAAAACATTGTAAGGAAACCTGGACTTTTAATATCTAATTTTAATTTTCGAATGGCCAATCTGCCTTGAGCAAGCTTAGTGATCCAGCCCAGATCCAGTAATCCAGCCAAAGCAATTGATATTTGCATGGCTCACTCATTTTATTTAACTTGTTAGACTTTGCGAAGTTTCCACACACTACAATCTTCACCTGTATTATAGGTATCATATCGGTCCAGCCTTATTATAGATGGACTAGCTGTTACCCGCGTCGTCACTCCCGTCATTTGACTACCTAGCGTAGGTAGAGTAGGGTAGGTAGAGTAGGGTAGGTAGAGTAGGGTAGGTAGAGTAGGGTAGGTAGAGTAGGGTAGGTAGAGTAGGGTAGGTAGAGTAGGGTATGTAAAGTAGGGTGAGAAGAGTAGGGTAGGAAGAGTAATTATGGGAGCGACGCCGCGGGTAAGAGCTAGTATATATATAGATTTCAAAAATGGTTTTTATTTATCTACCTTCAGCTCGTGGCATCAGCATGACAGTTGAAGAGGTGGCAGGGCTCTCCACTTGCAAGTATTCAGAGAGGGTTCAGTCCCTCAAACTTAATGAGGATGACCTCGCCTTCCTGAAGGGACTCCGGAGAAGGATCAAAAATAGAGTAAGTCCTCTTTTCTTATGTGATAAACGAGTTGACGGATTACCTGATGGTAAGCAATCAGCGTCGCCCGACCGTACGAGTGCGTTACCGACCTTTTGGGCATGAGGGTGTGGAAGGGAGGGAGCGGAAGGGGCAGGAAAAGCCCTCCGGTAACCTCACTCACACGGCGAAACACAACGCTGTGGTTGTTTCACGCCGGTTTTCTGTGAGGCCGTGGTATCCGGCCTATTCGTGCCGAAACATGGCTCTACCAAACTTAAAAAATGTTGTTTATTAGCTTTCACCCGCGTGGTATTTTGATAAAAAGTAGCCTTAGTCCTATTCCGGAGTGTATACTATGCCTGTGCCAAATGTTATCCACAGCGAAACCAGATCCGTCCAGCCTTTTTCGCTTGATTGAGTAAAAACATCAAAACATCGTTACTTTCGCATTTATAATATCAGTAAGATTTACAAAAAAAAAAAAAAAAAATATAATATATACATTGAGCGGAAGCTCGTTATAAATACTCTATGCCAGACTACTAGTGTCTGTGGTCGTCACCGCGAAACTTAATACTCTGTGGTTACTCAACTCGTCGTATTTCTCATACGGACTCATTGCTTTTACTTATCCACATTATTCACACATCATCAGCCTATAAGTACCCACTGCTGAGCAAAGGCCTCTTCTCACACGGAGAAGGTTTGAGCTTTATTCGCGATTGGATTCGCGATTTCAAACTTATAATTAGAAATTATAAGTCCAGGTTTCATCACGATGTTTTCCTTCACCGTATGTCAGTGGTGTCTAAATAATCATAGAACATATAACTCGGAAAAAGTCACATTGGTACTTGATAGCGTCGAACCTCTTGCATGAGAAGCGGGCGCTTTAACCTTAGGGCCGCTACGACATACGATTTTCTCATCCAATAATGCTTATTATATTTATTTTAGTTCTTATGTAGATTAAATTTATATTAGTTGTTGAGTTTAAAAAAAACTACGGTCTCTCAGAAAACCAGCGTAAAACAACCACAGCGTTGTGTTTAGCCGTGTGAGTGAGGTTACTAGAGGCCCAATCTATCTATCCTTAAATCGCCAAAACTCTTATCCCCAATAGGTCGGAAATACACTAAGAACTCCTCCATTGTTGTTGGTGTCCATTGGTGGCGTTAACTCAAGTCAAGTCAAAGTCAAAATCATTTATTTCAATTAGACCCTTACAGGCACTTTTGAACGACAAACAAACTTAAGGATAAAAGGAAATTTTAAGTGTGGGAGAGCCATGTGTCGGCTCGACCGGAGTAATACCACGGCCTCACAGAAAACCGGCGTGAAATAACCACAGCGTTGTGTTTATTGCCGTGTGAGTGAGGTTACCGGAGGCCCAATCCTTCCCCTCCCCCAATCCCTCCTCAATCCCTAAATCTCCAAATCCCTAATCCCTAAAAGGTCGGCAACGCACTCGTAATTCCTCCGTTGCGAGTGTCCATGGGCGGCGCTGATTGCTTACCATCAGGTAATCCGTCTGCTCGTTTGCCAACCTATTAAATAAAAGAAAAAAAAATTACTTTCTGTCGGTCAGTCCTCTTAGAGAAACTATTTACTCACTTATTACATGAAAAAATGGAATTAAAATTAACGTTATTTTCACAGCTTGCCTCCCAAAACAGCAGGCGTCGTAGCGTCGAGCACCTCAGACGTTTGGCTCGGGAGTTACGTGCCGTTCGAGCGTGTAGAGACGATGCCCTTGCTGAGAGGAAATCGCTGGTGATGCAGAGGGATAGTGTCCGAGCCAGCTGTCTTAGACTTAGGAGGCATATTGTCCAGGTGAGTTGTGATTTATTGAGTCAAAGTAGGTATAAGGCTAGACCCTTGTTAAATGGCACTAAGCCAGTAGACTCGTCGTAGTGCGTAAAGCATGCAGTCATAATTTAAACTCACGATTGCACAGTTGGCGCATGGCTAGGCTGACGCCGTGGTGCCACATTTCGCTTACCCCGCAACCCCGGCTGAACATCAGCCCTATAGGGCCCCGTCTGTGGTGGTCTATTGGCTCTTTGAGGCGCGCGCGGAACGCTACGCGCCGTACGCTCGGGTCTGGTTCTGGTCGGGCAGCGAGCTACTCTACGCCGTCCGCAGACCCGCGCTTACGGTGGTCCGAGACCATCTCTCGGCAGTGGTTGCCGTGCGAATTTTCGACTAGTTGATTGAAAGAAAGAAAATGTGTTTATTCGACACCCCGACATAGGGTCCAGAAACAAAAATAAAACAACATCAAAATAAAAAACAATAAAAAGGTTAAAAGAGAAATGTGAAGATGTGAATTTGTATGTTTGTAAACGTATCCACGACACAGGATAAAAAAAAAATAAGGAACAGGTTAGGGTTTTGGAGATTTAGGGATTCATACCCTAATCCCTTTCTTTAGAAAAAACATTGTGTATTTGTGTATGAGAAAGTAACCTCATTCACAAGGCAAAAGAATGCTATGATTGTTTCACATTGGTTTTCTTAAAGGTATTACGCCGGTCGTATATATGCATACTTATTAATTTTCAGATTCTACAAGAGCGATCAGACTCAACCGAAGTGCCAATATTAGATTTAGATACAAAGAAAGAATCTCAAAATAGTTTACCAATAAAAAAAATCGCCGTCACCGAAACTAAAACACCCCTTATACCGGAATGTTTCGAGAGGACTGAAAAAAATGTATTCGAATGTCGCATAGACAAACTAGTGCAGCAGAGCGTCAACCACATATTCAAAAATGACGTTGAAAAAAAGAAGGTTTTCGCAAAAACAGTTTTCATTTCGAATGACACATTGAGTTCCAATATTAAGTCTATGGTCTTAAGTGAAGAGGACAGTTTGAAAATATTGGAGAGTGATAACGGAGTACTCAACCTGTCCCTCAAAGAAGGCAGAAGAAAAAGCCATGGGCGAAAGCAGTTAGCTCCAAGAAGAATTACTTGTGTTTATTCTGATAATAATGGTGAGTTTTTATTATTACTAGCTCTTACCCGCGGCGTCGCTCCCGTCATTTGACTACCTACCCTACTCTACCTACCCTACCTACCCTACTCTACCTACCCTACTCTACCTAACCTACACTACTTACTCTATTCTATCCTATCCTATATCCATCTCTCAGTTCTTAGCTACCTCCCTAAGAATTTTCAGCTAAATCTGTTCAGCCGTTCTTAAGTTATAAGTGGAGTAACTAACACGACTTTCTTTTATACACATAGGTAGATTATGTTTGTTCTTTCCTTTCACGGGATCACAGGATCCCGGACCTTTGGAAGGCGTACAAGGGGCTGAAGCCAACTCGTAGAGGCCCATTGAACAGTTTTAATCTAAATGGGATGGGACATCAACCGGTACTATAAAAATGCACCCAAGGACAATCCACGGTTGATGCAGGACTGTTATGCAATATGGTAGAAATTGTATGGTTATGGGTGTGGGTGGCTATAAACTAGTAGATGGTAACTATGGAAATGCTATGGCCCCTGCCCCTGACCAATATTGATACATACGGATAAACAGGCAGGAGCCCCGGATACAGCCTTAGCTTCCTACTTACTAATTTTCAGGCAAATCGGTTCAGCCGTTCTTGAGTTATAAATAGTGTATCTAACACGACTTTCTTTTATTTAAATAGCGCATGTCGGCAATCATGGAAATCGCTGACCCTAATTTCAATAAAACTAGATCTCACACATCATCAGCCTATTAGTGGCCACTATAATACCACGGCCTCACAGAAAACCTGCGTGAAACAGCCACAGCACCGTCGTGTTTCACCGTGTGATTGGGGTTACCGGAGGCTCATTCCCTCCCCCTCCCCTATCCCTTCCCAAACCTTAAATATCCCAAACCCTTATCCCCAAAAAGCCGGCAACGCACTCCTAACTCCTTTGGTGGTGCAGGTGTCTATTGGCGGCGCCGATTGCTTACCATCTGGTAATCCGTCGGCTCAACGGTGGGCAATTATAGGGCTGATGATAGTGATTTTGAGATCTCTCACTCTTCTTCTTTCTTTCTTTCTCTTTATATCGTTACATCGTAAGAAAAATAAAAATAATTCCATTTTCAAATTACAGATGGCGTCCTGGATTTGAAAATAAAAAAGGAAAATCCGTGATATTCATATACCAACATTTAAAATAGTTAAGTATTGTATACACACTTATATACAGACCAAAAATATAGTTATATATATAGATATTAAAGTCGGGAACATTATTATTATTATTATACATAATTATTATGTAAGATTTACAATTTTTATAGAACTCTGACTTACCTGTTTTTACTTTAAAAGCTCACATTCTCAAAATAAAAAGTAACCCATATGTTATTTCAGACTATAATCTATCTCTGTGGCAATTTTCATCAAAATCCATTCAGTTGTTTTTGGGAAAAAGAGTTATAAACATCTATACGTACTTACAAACTTTCGCGAAAAATCTATTCTATAAAAAACATATTAAATTCTGTTTTTTTTTCGTATAGAAATAAGCTAACTTTATTCCTTTGCCAATTGAAATAATGTTAATCTATTTGAGGAAACCATATCAAAATCTGTTGAGTAGTTTTTGAGTTTGTCATGATCATTTACACAACACTAGGTCTAGGTACTTGTGATAATATACTCACTATTAATTGCAAGTAAAGCCTAACATAACATGTTTTTTAATTACTGTCCATATCATTCAAAATTATCGCATACATATATAAGTGTGGGAGAGCCAAGCTTAGCTTACCGGAGTCAGTAAGCCTCAGTAGTACCTCATAGAAAACCGGCGTGAAACAACCACCAGCGTTGTGTTTCGTGTGAGTGAGGTTACAAAAGACTCAATTCTTCCACTCCTTCCGTCCCGGCTTAGCTCGGAATAAGTTACTAACTTTTAGTTAGGATCCCTAAACGTTTCTAATAATAATTATAGCCTGTGTTATTCAGGGCGAATTCATCTTTCTAATGGTGAGAGAATGTTTAAAATTGACACAGTAGTTTATGAGTATATTCATAACAAACGTTCAGACAAAGAAAGATGATATTTACATTGTATGATTGGTAAGTCAGGGTTTTAAATCAACTAGTTACTAATTTAAGTTTTAAATATGTAGTGTGGGTGGACTTTTAATAGATTTTTGCTTGAAGGAACAATATTCCAATAGAAATTCTGTTATTCAGAAAAAATGGTAATGTTACAGTTGTTTAAAAAAAAAAGGCTACTTTAATCATTATTTTTTGTATGAATTCACTTTTAGTAATGTCTGTCAAACTCAGATTAAAAGTTCACCCTGTATGTACGAATTGATAAACAGGGTGTTTCGAATATCGTTACTTGTATTTATACTATAGAAACTAGGAAATAGTTTCTGTATTTGTATTGACTTAATCTGTGTGAGTCTTTTAGATCCCATATCGCGTAGCAAGGTCATACCGGTTATGATTTTTATTTTTAATTCTTAGCTATAGCGATAATCTATCACAGACGGGGCCCTATAGGGCTGATATTCAACCGGGGTTGGCGTGGTAAGCGTAATAAGGCACCTCGGTCTCGACCTAGAGCAGGAGAAGGAACGGGGGCTTTTTAGTCAGTAAGAGTCTGACACCCCCTCCCGCCCCACCTTGCGTGGGAGAAGTCATTTGATGATATTCTCTCACAAAAAACAAAGTTATCGCGAGGAATTTGTTTTTCAGCCTATGCTTGGCATAGCTTGCCTTATATACTTCTGCCAACCCCCTTTTTGGAACGCTTTGACTATAAATATTTTGAATATCCATATCCATTTTATAAAAAAAACAAAAACAAATCTATGTAACGATATTTCAAACATCCTGTATAGGAGAAACGGAAAAAACATCACACTGTACACATTGCGTTTACAATTTTATATAGACAATCGATAATTTATGTCTTTTCATTTTTTTTTAATACTAGTGGCATATAAAAAATGAAAGCTAAGCTTGGAAATGTGGTTCTGTGAATGTTACCGGTCTTACCCAGATTAAATTAATAGTAGGGTAGTTTCTTAAACGCTTATTTTTCTATAGTCAGATAAATGTTATCTTAGGAATAAAATTGATGCTGTCACTGTCTTATACAAACATTTTGACGCGACAGCATCATAACTATTCCTCAGGTAACTTCTATTCCATAGAGAAATCAGCCCTAAGTCAAAAATAAATTAATTCGATGTTTCTTCAATAAATTAACTTAATTTTTATTCATCGATCTATTAAGCAAACTTTTAAGAAATAAGTGAACTATTCGACTTAAAAAATACTATGACATCATTTGGAGTTTCATACAACATACAAATATGTAGAAAAGTATCGTTTTTGATAAAATTATTGAATTTTACTCAATGATATTGTAAGTAAAAAGGTGTAGATAGGTTACAAGCGCTCAGCAAGTGATACATTAAAATGTGGCTCATTAGCCACATTTTTTTTTCATATTTGTCTCTTTTTCACTCGCGATTATTGAATCATGCCATCTCACTTTGACGTCTAAACATACGAATTGTTCATGTGTGTATTTTTCGTTGTCGTGTGTCGTTTTTTGAAAATCGAATTTTGTTTATGTAACAAATCTTCACCATTTTACTTATAATATATCATTGATTTTACTAGTTGGAAACTACCCTACTGTTACAATTTAGTTTTGCCCATGCCTCTATATTGGTAGGTATTGTTGAATTGACTGTCCTTCAAAAGAAACTATGGTCTATTGGTTTAGGTACGGTAATTAACTAAATGTAAACAATCTTGGCATGTCTTTTTATCTAAAATTTGTCTAAAATTGTATATAAAAATATTTACAATCAGTTATTTAAATATCTTATAAAAAGATATAAGTACCAAGATTGTTTTTCACCTTTAGTTAACCACTAAACAGATAGCAGTGTGGAAATTATAAATTCGTTAAGTATATTTAATTTTACAAAAATATATCTAACTAAGTATAATAAACGTCCAAAATCGTTATTATTAAAAAAATCTATGAAATCGAATATTTTTTTATGTATTATAAATAAGAAAATTACTTATATTGGTACAAAGTTTAGGACCATTTATGTACATAAATACGTGTTAAAAATATTATAAAATGTTGTTTATATATATTAAAAATTGATCGTTTGTTCTCAATATTATATTTTACGAATAAAAAAAAAATGTTGGTTGCGAATATTTTCTCCCGCCTTTTTTTGACAGTCGGCCATTTTGAATTATTTTACAATCTGTTTTGAAACAACAACGAAATGTAGTAGGTAGGTACCTACTCTAATTAATGAATATATTTAATGCGTTATGTTACCAGTCGAAAAAAATAAAAATTCACTACTATAAAGTTAATGGCCTTTTCATATATTAGTTTGGCAGCTTTAATAAACAAAAATTTGCTTTTTTTCTTTAGTCTTCTCACGAAAAAAAGAAACAAAAACCACTGAAAGCCATTTCACATAGAATCACAGATAACATCGACTAATACATGACAAATAGTTTATTATTTTCTTTCCCCTCTTTCTTTATATCCGAATTTAAACATTTTTGTAAAAAGCATTATTTTCCTGTTAACAAAGTCAACGAAACCAATTTGGCTGAGTCATGTTCATTGTAAAGCAGGTTGAAAAAAATATATTGAGTTCTGGACGCCGAATGTTTAATAATGTTAAAATACTTTTACAAATTATACAATGTTTACTTTCGAGTCTGTAATGTTATATTATCATTTATTGTATCATAAATATACAGGGTGACATTTTGAATGGCATATCCAACGAGCCGATTCAGGTGCTCAATTACAACAAGTTTTTCCATGGGATGTATATCCAAATCTCAAAAATAAATTTATTTCCCCTTACAAATCTCTACAGCTGATTGATCCATTTGCATGGAGAAGTAAAAATTACTTCGAGACTTCCATACTGGTCTTATAGAAAAATTGTTTTATTTCAGCACCAGGATCCGATCCTTGAATATGTCCTTGGTTCAGAATAATACCCTTTATATTATAATCTCCCTCATTCTATAAAGTGAATTATAGTATACATAGATCACTTTTCATAGTCACTTAAAGAGATAATAGGATTACCGCACCAATAAAAATCCGTAAAATTATGACCAAATGTTTCCTTATGGTGTCGAATATAATTAGAAATGTACTATTGAAACTTAACGTGATCCGAAGCAGAAAAAATATCGCATTAGTCTGAAGAGAATTTCACGAAAAGAACGTATTCTTAATTTTAATTTTTTGGTAACGGACTTATGTCACCTTTAATGTTGCCATATTTTCGTTTTATTAAAAACATAGAAATGAGGTTTTGGCTCTGTATACTGTATTCTCTATCTAATGAAGCTGTGTAAGTTTAAAAATTGACCTGCCATCGGATCGCGATAGGTACCAATACTATGTTTCCAACGTTAAACGTTCTATTTTAAAGGTTTTATAACGAATAGTTAGTTATGATATGAATATTTAGAATATAAGGCAAAGTCGCGTGTATAAAGGATTATGTGATGTTGAGTTTGAATAAATAATTTTAGTTACCCTATGCATGTTTTCTTTTTAACCCGTGGTATGATCGTGTATATAAGCGACTTACAAAGTATTTTCTGTTGTTTCTCATATTAGTAGACGAAAGGTTAGATAATCCATATACATCATATTATGGAAAATGTTCTGTTTTTAAAATAAACCGCTTTGGAGTAGAATTATTCTTTGCCGAATGTTTGTCCTTGTGGGTATTTTATTTTTCCGATGCTTTTAATAAATATTAGTGCTACACTGTTCTCACATAATAGAACCGACTAAATAATGTAACAAAAATGAATGAATAAGATTAACCATGTAGTTACTTGCTCGTTCTTCTCTATTGTAATCTACGCTTCATTAAAGGACAGACCGACAGACCGACACATAATAAATTAACATTTGATATTTATTTTTTTGTTTGCCGTTAAAATGTACATGTAGTTGTAGTGGTCTATTTGAAATAATTATATGATGATGAAAAAATGACTTTGACTTTGAAGTCTGTGTTTATTTGACTTTGACTTGACTTGGTTATCTACCAAGTGAGTATGTTGATTGGAGCAAGAGACTTTCCGTCCGGCGGCGTGGATTTAAGTAAGTAAAGTCTGATATTCTCTCATTACACCTAGGACGGGAAAAGGAAATGGATATTTTACCTTTTTCGTAAAAAAGGCTACAGCTTTGTATCTCCATTTACCAATTTTAACGAATTCAACTAATATCAAACTGAAAGCTACGTAAAAAGATTGTAATTATAAATGGACGGTATATAATATGTTATGTATGTTTTAAGTGTGTAAAGAATTAATCACTCTACCCATTCTTTTAAAGTTTGATAGCGCCATGCTTCAATACTAACAGGGCTCTTAAACCGGAGTGTCACCACCCGCTCAACAGAAAACTGGTGCGAAACGTTTGAATTTGAAGATGTGTGTTAGTTACTGGAGGTTCAACCCTCCTATTCCCGATCCCAAGTTTTACCTCCAAATATATTATAATAAACTAATAGATATTTTAAAACGTTACATACAAAAACATGCCCTCTATATCACAGCTGTTTCACAAATTTTCCATTTGGTTGACCTATTTACCGACAGATGTCACCATAAAGCATTTCCAAGCAATCGAACCTCATTTTGTTTCACGCTGGCAACACCAACCCTAAACTAACGCCCTCTAACAGTCAATAAAGAAAACTCTCCTTTTGTCTCGTTCAATCCAATATGGCGGCAAACGGTGTATGAGAGGTGCGGAATGTTTTGATTCGGAACGAACAATAAAAAAAAAATTGTATGGAAAAAAAACTCATAACGAATCGCGAAAAAAAATACGCAATGGCCGGTGAATTAACGTGGTTCTCGTGTTGTTAATATTAATTAATCGATCTCGAAGTTAATTGTGTTAAAACTATTGTGTTATTGAATTGAATATTTTTTTATTTTTGATTTAGCATTTGTGTTCTCTAATGTGTTCGTTTGTAATAATATGTGAGAGATTACACGCTAGATATGTCTACCGAGCCTGATAAAACTACGGGATGCCCGATAGAGTGTGATAATAATGTTAATTCTGATTTAAAAGAATCTGTGAACAAATTTTGTGTTACAAGTGATGTAGATAGTAAGAAAAAGAAAAGTGGACGCTCAGTGCGTTTTCCAGATGAGGATCTCATAGTTACGGAGTACTTTGAACCTGAAAACCCTTGGCAAGATGGTAAGACAACCTTTTTACAACACTTCCATTAGAAAAACATAACGAAACTGAATAGGAACAATTTTACACTGAATTCTTTACAAAATTAGCTTAAAACTCGGTGAAGGATTCATAAAACGTGTTTAGTATTCTAATTCATCCGTTTTTTACACATTCAATTGGTATTTATTCCGTTCTCCAATATTGATAATCAGGTTATTATAGATAATTATTCGTGAGTACGCGAATTATGTTGTTACTGATAAAATCTCAGTTTCAGTCCGTATTGAAGTTATTTTCGTTGCATTTATTGATGTTTAGTTATTTATTATTATCATTATAATCAGCTGCTTCGCTATATCGATCATAATTTTGTATCATTTGCATGTTAATCAACATTTTTTTTAATCGCAAAATAGTACTGTACAATTTTTTTCTATTTAATTCATGACCATTTTGACATGGAAATTATCTATTTCTAATTATCCATCATCGTTTGAATTGCAGAAACTAAATCAGGCATTTTTTCTATGTAGTTATAGGATTTTGTGTCTTAGAGACCAAATTGCCAGGAATAATAACATAATCTTATATAAATAAATGGTTTTTATGTTCTGTCTTACCGACTATTTACAAATATTTGCTCTTTCTATGTTTGTACACTAAATAAAACATGGACAGACCTAAAGGCTTTGTTAAGATCCTGTGTGTTCAACTTGTATGAACAAAACTGCAATAAATGCATTTCTTTACTAATTTCCCGACACTGGGAAAGCAAGAAATGTTTAGAAATGCCCATATTGTTTTGTCGTAACTTTCCAAACATCTTTTGTTTTACCCCTTCTTTTTGTCAGGATAAAATCATTAAATGACTTCTCCCACCCAAAGTAAAACAAGAGAGGATGTCAGACTCTTACTGACCTAAAACCCTCCTGTTTCTTCTCGTGCTAAAGGCTAAAGGCTGAGGCTGCGGTGCCTCAATGCGCTTATCCCGCAACCCTGGCTGAACATCAGCCCTGTAGGGCCCCGTCTGCGGACCCAAAACTACTAAATAAACATATATCCAACATAGTATATAGAAATTGCCTTCTATATTGTAATATAGCCAGTATAATGTCTATACAGACATTGTAAATCAACCCTAGACTAAAGTACAATTCTAAACACTCCATCAAGATAATAATATGAAAGATAACTATATTTAGGTGATATATCAAAATAACAATTTGGTGATGGAACTATCTTCATAAAAAATTTAGAATGTCAAATAAACCCTCATCCAACTTGAATTATATTAATTTAAATTCCTATATTAGATTATTTAACATACTGTTTTTATGTAAAGAAAAAAATTCAATGAAGTTCAAACAGATTGGTCTAGGTTGATTTAGGGCTGGTTTTTCAATGGTTAGATAAAAGTTACCTGGGGAATAATTATGATGCTGTCGCGTCAGAATGTTTGTATAACGCAGTGACTGCAACAATTTTATACCTCAGATAACATTTATTTGACTATTGAAAAATCAGTCCCTAATACATAATACAATTTGTTAAATGTTATCTCAATTATTAATTTACATTTATAACATTTACTTTATAAAGAATTAGAGGACCTATAAATCATGGATTTTGAATTAAGGGCTTTGAGTGTACTAAAAACCTTATGAAACATCTAATAATTATTCAAAAATAATGTCTATAATTTATATAAATTATCCTGAAGATAAAATACTTAAATAGACCATTCCTGACTTAGAATTCACAATTAAAGTTCTTACACATCAGTCATCAATGGGTCCTCTGACACATAAGCTTGAGGTTGACTGGTAAAGCATGCCTTTGGGCATTGACTCCTCCTTTGTGTCATATTTTACATAAAATGTTAAAAAAAAAAATAAGCCTGGTCTAACCTCTTCCATTCTTAACCAATTCTTAATTTGTTTTGACCCAATCCTACTTTCCTAAAAGTCATCACCAATGACCAATATCAAATTGAGTTATTGTATTTGTTTGTCTTTCATTCACATCTTTTCAATCTTTTTATACCTAATTGGTTTTTGTCTCTGAAGACTTGCACAGGCTAATAAATATTCCCAGACTCCTGGGCGAAGCCAGATGTAACTGCTAGTAGTGTGGTTATAAAAACTCCTTGAATGATGACTCAAGTGGTCTTATAATTTGAGTGACTTACAGATTGAGAGACTTACAGATAGTATTCATAGACAATCTATTAAGTTTAGCAGTATTATAGTACAAAGTCCTGCCATTGTATCAGATTGTCTCAACATAAGAAGCTTAAAAACTGCTACACAGATGTTTATAAGGTTTTTGCTTACTGACACACAGCTTCATAACGAATTTCGGTCATATTTTGTTCAAAGTCATTAAATAATTAGAGAAAAGAATGTGGTACCAAGAATTATACAATAAGGTAGTTTCCAACTAGTCAAATTCAATACTTTTATCTAAATGTCAAAAACGGTAGTTTTATGAAAATTGTATAAAAAACTGAGTTATGATGTCATAATATTTTTGCATCAAATAGCTTACTTATTTCTTAATAATGAGCTAAAACATCTAAAATTTAGTGTATTAATTGATCGATGAATAAAAGTATAGTTATTTTTCAATATTTTATTGTATTGAAATGTTGAATTAATTTTTTTGACCTAGGAAACTACCTAATTATAAACCTAGACTAGCTAAGCTATGTCTTTTCCTCACATTGTGACAACAAGCAGTCATTTGTATTTTGTATACATTGTTTTTGTAAATTTTTTAATCTATGGTTTCCCTCTCCCTTCGTTTGAAGTGGAAAATGACCCAATGACTTCTACACCCCGGGGTGGGGTGAGAGGTAGTATCAGACTCCTGACTAAAAACCTCTCCATCCCTTCTCCTTTACTAATTGCCTTAAGTAAAGCATAGTGACTAAATCTCATACTGTCTCTCTGAAGAGAGAATGTGAGGTCTGAGGTTTGACCAGTCTGTGGTACATCATGGTTCATCTACCTTAAAGTTTCTTGAAGTAAGTTATAGGCTGACAAGAAGCAAAAGAAGCAACTCAGGAATAAACAGTTGGGCAGTGCCACATTTATATAATGTGGTACTTTAGTAGTATGATTTTTCTTTTATAATATATTTTGGCATAGGGTATTTTACAAAGGTATTTGACTCTTGAACTATGTCAAATTAATTAACTTTACCTATTTTAAAACTACATATACTTAATGCAATATAATCTAAAACTATATCTAGTTAATGATAGGTAGTAGGTACCTACTTGCTGAAATTATCACAAACAATTTTTTTGGCTTGAATGACATTAACTCAAAAATTAAGTAAGATCTAGTGAAAATTATTGAAAAGGCAAAATATTTATTTTTAACTGAGGAGAGTATAAAAATATGTCCATTTCCAATGTAACTAATCAAAACCCACACTCGCTTAGGCTACCCCTCCCTTTAACTTTTATTATGGTAGGGTAGGTACAAGCCATTCGCCCCTGTTTCGCACGGATAACTAACCGGTTCCAATTTCTCGTTTTCCCTCTCCACTTTTCTAGAATTATCTTTTATTATAGGTTATAATGACAATAACAAACTCAACAAAAGAAGAATTACCTAGCAAAATTTGTCCAGGCATTTAGATTGTGATACCTACCGTCAAAAAAACGTCAAAATAGTCAAAATCAATCATTTTACCACAGTAAAAATAAAATTATTAGAAGAGCTTTAACTTTCTGTCCTCTAGTGAAGCTATTTGCTCGTTCCAAAGTGTAGATTCCTATGGAGAAGAACGAGCAAGAAACTCCATGGTTACTCTTTTTCAATCAGATTTACAATTCATTTTTTTGTTACATCATTTACACTGCGCTGGGATAGCGCAGTAACTAGGTAACACATAAAAAGAGACCAAAAATAAATTATTTTAACTTATGAATACAACAAATAATAAAAAAACAACCATACTTAACTTTCCATAGACCATAGGCGGCGCTGATTGTTGGCAAACGAGCAGACGGATTACCTGATGGTAAGCAATCGGCGCCGCCCATGGATACCCGCAACACCAAATGAGTGCGTTGCCGGTCTTTTGGGGATAGGGGTTGCGGGTAAAGGGATAGGAGAAGGGGAGGGATTAGGCCTCCGGTAACCTCACTCACACGGCGAAACACAACGCTGGGTTGTTTCACACCGGTATTCTTTGAGGCCGTTGTATCACTCCGGTCGAGCCGACCCGTGCCGAAGCTTGGCTCTCCCACACTTAGCATCAGGTAATCCGTCTGCTCGTTTGCCGACCTTATCACATACGAAAAATCTAAAGTAATAACGTTACAAGTGTTTTCTTCTTACCCGCCTTTATAATGTAATGTAACGATCTTTCATATTATAATAGCGAGATTAAAGAACATCCTTGAAATGCCTATCAGCTGTTCGCTATGACACAAGCACACACACACAAGCAGGACATTTTCGTAATCTATGTTAACTAAAGATAAAAATATTACGCGAAAAACGTTTCTATTAACGTTTATTAATCAAAGGAATTCCTATATGTATTAAGATATTTAAAAAAAGTCACTATTTACCTACATACAAGAGAGGATGAGCTGCGAAGCTGTTTTTTTCTTTATGTAATAGGGCGGCAAATTAGCAGGATTATATTTATAACCTGATGGTAAGCAATCAGCGCCACCCATTCACACTAGCAACAACAGAGGAGTGTGTTGTTGACTTTTTGGGTAGTAATAGGGATGTGGAGATTTAGGGATTGGCCCTCCGGTAACCTGACTCACATGGCTAAACACAATGCTGTAGTGGTTTCACGTTGGTTTTCTGTGAGGCCGTGGTATCACTCCCATCGAGCCCATCCATTCGTACCGAAGCATGGTTCTCCCACACAACGCGTAGCGTTCCACCGCGCCAATAGACCACCACAGACGGGGTCTTATAGGGCTGATGTTTAGCCGGAGTTGCGGGCTAAGCGCAATAAGTCACGCTGGCCTCGGCCTAGAGCAGGAGAAGGAACAGGGGCGTTTTTAGTCAGTAAGAGTCTGACATTCTCACGCCTTACCCTAGGCGGGAGAAGTCATTTGATGATTTTCCCCTCCCAAAAAACCCGTTCATATCATCACAATAAAGACTATTTTAAGTTATCAAATATAACCATACGAACCAACACCATGTAGGTATATTACCTACAAAAAGAGTTTTATCCATAACAAGGTCGCTTTCTCTGTCCCTACATCCCTATGTATGCTTAAATCTTTAAAACTACACAACATACTTTGATGCGGTTTTAGTGACGGTTTATTAATATGTAAATTAAAATCCATTATACACATAGTAAAGAAATTAAATTAAGTATAAGTAGTAAATTATTAATATCAAAAACTATCGATTCATGGATTCAATCACAAAAACAGCTGAACGGATTTCGATGCAATTTAACTATTAAGATGGCTCATGACCTAGTTAAGACACGCAATGGAAACACATTATTTACTGTTGTGTTATTAATGTATACGTTGCGTACCTACAATGTTATTATTAAAGTTTTATTTATGAACCATAATCATTATTGGTATTAGTGTTTTCAACATATTGGTAGTGGTTGCGTAGTATTTTAAAAACCAACACTGCTATTCTTTATTTTTCTTCGGCTCTTACTTCTTTTTCGGCTCGGCCGGAGACATATATCGCGGCCTCATAGAAAACCGGCGTGCAACAACCACAGCGTTGTGTTTCGCCGTGTGAGTGAGGTTAGCGGAGGCCCAATCTTTCCCACTCACCCTATCTCTTCCCAATCCTTAATAATCCGAAACCTCATTTCGTGTTGCGGCTGCCCATGGGCGGCGCCGATTGCTTACCATCAGGTAAACAATTTGCTAGTTTGCCGACCCATCCTATAAAAAAAATTGGAGTCAGGCCCCTGGTACCGTCAAGGTTTTGAGTTAAAAAATAAAAGTATACCTAATATAAATGTTTTCTAGGTCAAGAGTAAGGTAAATATGTACAATAATAATTTTGTAATATATTATCGAATTCAGAATACATATTTCCCTATTATTAATCAACATAATTATAAGGATGTGATAATTAAATTAAACAATATAAGTAAATAAATTTGTTTTAAGTAAAACTCACGAAGGTGGAAACAACGCCGGTTTACAGTGAGGCCGTGGTATCACTTCGGTCGAGCTTACCCATCGTGCCGAATTGGCATGGCTCTCGGAGAGAGCTCCACGGCGTCACTGAGAACCGGCGTGAAACCACCACAGCGTTCTGTTTCGCCGTGTGAGTGAGAATACCGGATCAATCCTTCCTCTGCCCCAATCCCAAAATCACCAAGTCTCTTATCCCCAAAAGCAAAAAGGGATAAGCCCCAAAAGGTCGGCAACGGTCGGTTGTTGCGGGTGTCCTAGGGCGGCGCTGATTGCTTACCATCAGGTATTTAGTCTCATAGTTTGCCGTCCTATCACATAAAAAAAACTCGAAACTAGAAGCAAACCAATAATGGCCTTAACGTAAAAAACATAAGTCACATTGATACCTATCTGGTTGCGAACTCGCGCCCCCATGCTTGAGAAACTAGTACATGCGGTGTGTTTGTGTGTCATTTCAACGTCACAGTGTCAATATAATGTCCCGAGTGGATGTATAATGATGACATCAAGAATGCGGCAGTTCCTAGCCAGACAGTAATCAGGAAAACCTGAATTATCCACGTCTATAAGTCTAGGATTCTAGCTGTTTTGTTAGGAGAGTTTTCTTTAGTATAACTTCCGAGCGAGGGGTTTCTGGTTCGATCTTGTGTCTAATTTTTTTAGCAGAAGATAGCTTGGACTATCTCTACCGGAATGATAAAAAACAGGCGTAAAACAACACGTACGCGCGTGAAGTGACTGGAGGCTTTTTTTGTGAGGGGAAAATCATCAATTGACTTCTCCCGCCCAGGGTAGGGCGGTGTCAGACTCTTACTGAGTAAAACGCCCCCGTTCCTTCTCCTGCTCTGGGCCGAGGTCGCGGTTCCTCATTGCGCTTACCCCGCAAGCCCGGCAACGCACTTGTGAATCTAGCGTTGGGGGTATCCATGGGGGATCCTTCTGAGTGTCAATGGGCGGCGCTGATTGTTTACCATCAGGTAATCTGTTTGCTTACCTACACCATAAAAAACATCCATACAACATATGAAAACCAGGAAAAACCTCGATGCAGTGTTAATATAAGAAAAACAGAACTGAATGATCTCATTTTTCTTAGTCATTTAGTCATTTTTAGACACCTTTTATCCTAAAATACATATCTTTAGTCATACGTAGATGACATCATTATGGTTTCTAGCTAGCCATATTTATAAAAATCACATGTTTATCATAATGAGGATACCTAAGCTGCTCATCACATGACGATGCCTGCCAGCCGCCGCAGTAGGACACACGGGCGTTAAATATCCAGAACCAATCTCCGACCACCGTAAGCGCGGGTCTGCGGACGACGAACAAGAGTAGCACGATGCCCGACCTGAACCAGACCCGAGCGTACGTTCCGCGCGCGCCTCATAGAGCCAATAGACTAGACTACCACAGACGCGGCCCTATAGAGCTGATGTTCAGCCGGGGTTGCGGGGAAGCGTAAAAGGGCACCACGGCATCGGCAGCAGGAGAAGGAACGGGGGGTTTTTAGTCAGTAAGAGTCTGACACTCTCTCTCGCCTTTACCCTAGGCGGGAGAAGTAATTTGATGATTTTCCTTTGATAAATAAAATTGACGGTGCCCGCAACACCAGAGGAGTAATAAGTGCGTTGCTAGCGCCGTCCATAGACACCTTCTCTTGTTCACTGGTGGGTGGGAACCCCTCATGACCTTTCGAGTCACTACGACCAGGTTTCAAAACTGGCAAGAACTAATGTGACTTTCCAACTTATATATGTACTTTCTATGATTATTTAGACACCACTGATATACGGTGAAGGAAAACATCGTGATAGGAAAACTGGATTTAAAATGTCTAATTGTATGTTTTGAGTTAGCGCGATAGTAAGTGCTTTAACCTTCTCCTTGTGAAAAGAGGCTTCTGCAGCGGTAGGCACGTATAGGCCGATTAATGTGATGTATGTATAATAATCTATCTCTGTGCCAAATTTCATTCAGATACGTGTGTGATTAAGTGTGGGAGAGCCATGCTTCGGCACGAATGGGTCGGCTCGACCGGAGTGATACCACGGCCTCACAGAAAACCGGCGTGAAATAACCACTGCGTTGTTTCGCCGTGTGAGTGAGGTTATCGGAGACCCAATCCTTTCCCTCCCCCAATCCCTCCTCAATCCCTAAATTTCCGAATCCCTAATCCCTAAAAGGTCGGCAACGCACTTGTAACTCCTCCGTTGCGAGTGTCCATGGGCGGCGCTGATTGCTTACCATCAGGTAATCCGTATGCTCGTTTGCCGACCTACTACATAAAAAAAAAGATACGTTCAGTAGTTTTTAGTGGCAAAGCAACAAACATTTATCCACACATAAATGTTTTCTCGTTTATAATTTTAATACGATGTATTTGTAATAAGTACTACTTATTTAATTAACTGCGCATCGGTGTAAATTTTCAGAATTCAGCATTTTTGTCAATGTTATGTAAACTATGCGTGTCTTGCAAAATACGTGTTTACTTATATTGTATGTGTATGTAACGCGATATCTAAGTAAATGGCCAACTATTATGGACCAAGAAATATCAAATTTGTTCCATGGAGGCATAGGTAGAGAGTTTTCCCATTCTAACCCCCGACGCCAAAAGAGGGGTTTTATAACTTTGACGTGTCTGTCTGTCTGTCTGTGGCACCCTGGAGCCTGAACGGGTGAAGCGATTTTAATTTAGTTATTTTTGTATTAAAGGTGACTTACATGCGAGTGTTCTTAGACATGTTTGACGAGAATCGGTTGAGCCATTTAGAAGTTGTGGGGTAAGTGGGGAAGGGTAACCGAAGGTCTGCAAATATACTCGAGTGGGGTCTCAAATGAAAGTGCACTGAAAGGGAATGTTGATGACTTAATCGAGAGAAAATGATATATAGTAAAATAGGTTTAAAGTGTATAAAATGAAAAAATAAATTGGACCCCCGACAAAACAGAAATAAATAGTAGATAATAAAATATTTGGATCGGTCCCCGAACGCTACGTTTTTTTTAAATTATTGCTTTTATAGGAATACTAGCGGCCCGCCCCCGCTTCGCTCGGGTCCAACTATCTCGCTATCAAAGGGTCACTTTTTCCTTATGTTCCTCTCTACTTTTCTAATATTTTCTTTGATAAGAACCTTCTCCAACAATAACAAACACAACAAAAAAAGAATTAGCAAAATTGGTCCAGGCGTTGTTGAGTTATGCGCTTACCAACACATTTTGCGATCCATTTTTATATATAAGATTAAATTTTTTTAATAGGTACCTTTTTCTATACTAGGATTCTCTCCTGCGTCGTTGGGTGCGTTTACAAACATACGATCTCACATACATATGACAACCAGACTGGAAACAACAATATTTTTTCAATTTTTTGTTGTATTTGTTTTGCCTGTAAAAAGTTAAGTGTGGGAGAGCCATGCTTCGGCAAGAATGGGCTGGCTCGACCAAAGTGATACCAAGGTCTCACAGAAAACCGACGCGAAGCAACACTTTCGCGTTTCATCTTAACAACATTCTAATTACGCGGGTATTAACGCGGAAAATTATAATTTGAATACCTTGGATTCCCTCTCTGCATTCGGGTGATGAAGATTCATCACCCGAATGCAGGGAGCTGTGACATCGCGTCTTCAGTCTGCTTGTGACCACGACCTGTGCAACCGGGTCGAAACGTCAAGCCTACCAAGGTATTCAAATTATAATTTTCCGCGTTAATACCCGCGTAAATATAATGTTGCGAAGCAACACTGTTGTTGTGTTTTTATTATAACTTTCGTGAGACATTCTAGATTAATTATTATGTTGCTCTATGATGAATATGGGCCTCTAGCATGGCTTGAAACTAGTCGAGTATCTCGTCAAATTATTACGTGAGTAAGCCGAAAACATAATAATTAACTGTTGTTGAGCATTGCAACCGTAGGAAGCTGGCGCGGAACGCAAATAACTAACTATTTTACACTACAGTGTGTACTTAAGCGTGGGAGAGCCAAGCTTCGGGACGAATGCGTCGGCTCAACCGGAGTGATACCACGACTTAACACAAAACCGTCGTGAAACAACCACAGCGTTGATTTTCGCCGTGTGAGTGACGTTACCGGAGGCCAAATCGTCCCCCAATCCTAAAATCTCCAAATACCTAATCGCCTAAAATACGGCAACGCACTCGTAACTCCTCTGTTGTTGCGGGTATTCGTGGGCCGCGCTAATTAATCATCATCATCATCATCAGCCTATAAGTGCCCACTGCTGAGCAAAGGCCTCTTCTCATACGGAAAAGGTTAGAGCATTAATCACCAAGCTTGCTCACTACGGGTTGGCGATTTTAAACTTATAATTAGAAATTATAAGTCCAGGTTTCCTCACGATGTTTACCTTCACCGTATGTCAGTGGTGTCTAAATAACCATAGAAAGTACATATACATATAACTCGGAAAAAGTCACATTGGTACTTGCCAGGTTTCGACCCTCATCCATTAGAAGCGGGCGCCTGAAGCTCCAGGCCACAACGCTAATCGTAATCCGTATTCGTTTGCCGACCATCTATATATATATATATATAAAAGAAAGTCGTGTTAGTAGGTAGGATAGAGTAGGTAGTATGGGTTAGGTAGAGTAGGGTAGTGTAGGGGTTTTTTTTTGTGAGGGGAAAATCATCAAATGACTTCTCCCGCCCAGGGCCGGGCAGGAGGGAGTGTCAGACTCTTACTGACTAAAAACCCCCCTGTTCCTTCTCCTGCTCTGTGCCGAGGTCGCGGTACCTCATTGCGCTTACCCTGCAACCCCGGCTGAACATCAGCCCTTTAGGGCCCCGTCTGTGGTGGTCGAATGGCTCTTTGAGGCGCGCGCGGAACGCTATGCGCCGTACGCTCGGGCCTGGTTCTGGTCGGGCGGCGAGCTGCCCTTACTCGCCGACCGCAGGTAGTGTAGGGGTAGGTTAAAATCAAATTAAATCCCGTCATGTGCTAAAATCAAATGACGGGAGCGACGCCGCGGGTAAGAGCTAGTAAAACATAAAACTATAACTATCATAATGTCCGTACGCTTTATGCTAACGTATCTAGTCTGTCAACAACTGAATTTATTAAGACGTAGATCGCCTACGTATCGATTATTGAATGTACGATGGGCAATGGCCGATACATATATTCGGATGTTGATTTATAATTATACATTGTTTTGTGCACTTATAGTTAGTTTGGAAGCCAAACTTCGTTACGACTCTACCGGAGTGATACCACGGCCTCACAGCAAACTAGTTGTGTTTCGCCGTGTGAGCGGGGTTACCGGAGGCCCAATTATTCCCCTCCTCCGACCATTCCATAATTCGTAAATCGCCAAATCCCAAATGGTAACTTCTTTGTTGTTGCGGGTATCCATGGGCGTCGCTGATTGCTTACCATTAGGTTATCCGCCTGCTCGTATGAAAGAAAATTGTTGTGAAAAAAAGGTCAGGAGTGAAATTTAAAAAAAAAATGCTTTTGGGATAAATAGTTGTAGATCTAAATAGTAGGTGCGAAAGGACGCTCTTTTCCTTTTGATAATAATAAATACAACAAACAAAGAATTATCAATATTCGTTCAGGCGTTCTTGAGTTATGCGCTTACCAACACATTTTGAGATTCATTTAGTTTTTATAGAAAAGTCCCATGAACGTCCCCAGCTGAGCAAAAGCCGCTTCTCACACCGACAAGGTTTGAACATTAATCACCACGCTTGCTCAATGCGGGTCGGCGATTTCAAACTTATAATTAGCAATTATAAGTCCAGGGTTCCTCGTGATGTTTATCTTCACCGTATGACAGTGGTGTCTAAATAATCATAGAAAGTACATATAACTCGGAAAAAGTCACATTGGCATTGGCCAGGTTTCGAACACCCTCATGCATGAGAAGCAGGCTCCTTAATCTCCGGGTGTCGTCTTCGTCTCTATTTAGAGAAGTAGAGAGAATTATTTCGATTAGTTATTTTCGTTATATTAACACACGTTGTTCGATACCCGAGCGAAGCAAGGGCGTTCTGCTAGTACTCAACAAACCCCATTAATCATTATTTCACTAGATGTGTGGGAGAGCCATGCTTCGGCACGAATGGGTCGGCTCGACCGAAGTGATACCACGGCCTCACAGAAGACCGGCGTGAAACAACCACAGCGTTGTGTTTCGCCTTGTGAGTGAGGTTACCGGATGCCTAATCCTTCCCCGCCCCCAATCCCTCCTCAATCCCTAAATCTCCAAATCTCTAATCCTTAAAAGGTCGGCAACGCACTCGTAACTCCTCCGTTGCGCGTGTCCGGTTGCGGTGTCGTGTAATACGTCTGCTCCT